CGGTAGCTGGTTCTCTTGCTCATTTATAACACTCCCACCCTAAAATAGGCCAACAGAGTAAACACACAGGCTGTGGCGTGCGGGGGTGGGGGGGGTACCATGGCGCCAGCTCCTCTCGGATGTCCAGCCTCTGCTCGCTCAGTGCTGTCAACAGGTGACAGTCACCCTGCAGGGCAGACTCTTGGCTTTTGGAGAACTAAGTCACTGGGCTGTTTATGGTGCCCTTTGCCTTGTGAATTAACTAGACACTAACCCTTGATAGCTATCAGGGGGCTTTTGAAAAAACAGACTTGTGAAATTTAAACAAACAAACACCAATAAAAATTGACCAAATTTCCTAAGTGGCCAAGAAAGGGTTAAATTGTAAAGCAAAAATGAGGCTGCTAAATCACTTGATTTGACAGAATCGATTTTTTTAGGGAAAACATTTGCTTTGTTTATCTAATGTATTTGCAATGGAGCCAAATTGGTGGTTGTGTGTGTGCAGAAAAGCTTAGCTATTGTCACATTCCACAGTACATAAACAGACAATATAAAATATCGGTACTGTGGTATTAAAATTTCATGGAGAGTAGTAGAAATAACTAGGGGAAAAAAGGCTCAGAAAAACTCTTGGGAAGGAGTAATAATGGGGGAAAAAGAAAGTTGAAAGAACTAGTTTATCCTAACTAGCTACAGCCTCTAAGCCAATTTTCCAGGAGCAGCCTAATCAGGAGACTTAAACCTATTACCAGATAATACATTCAGCAAGTGTGGTCGCTTACCCAGCGTGTGTCAGCCTGCTGCCCCCACAGAGCAGCGGCTCCCTGCTGCAGTAGTACTTCTACTGCTTGCAACATGCTGCCTGCTCAGGCTGTGGGGAGCTGTTTCCAGACACTGAAGTCAGGGAGAGAAGGTGAGGAAACAGACGTGCGCATGTGCACGTATGTACACACACACACACACACACACACACACACACACACACAGTGAATGTTGAAGGCTTCCAGGGATGGCCAAGTTTTTTTTTGTTTTTGGTCATTTAGGGACAGGGCACAGTGGAATTTCACATTCCCTACCCTGCCTCTTTGAACCGTTTTTTTTTTTTTTTAAACCACCAGTTGAAAAGCAGATGAGAAAACTGACATTAGACCAACACAAACAGATTTCTTTATAGGCAGTACTTTTTATTTGATCCACTTTTGAAACATTGAGCTCTAGTTTTTTTTTGTTTTTGGTCATTTAGGGACAGGGCACAGTGGAATTTCACATTCCCTACCCTGCCTCTTTGAACCGTTTTTTTTTTTTTTTAAACCACCAGTTGAAAAGCAGATGAGAAAACTGACATTAGACCAACACAAACAGATTTCTTTATAGGCAGTACTTTTTATTTGATCCACTTTTGAAACATTGAGCTCTATTAGTACTAAAATAATTCAGAGTCAAATTGAACACTCCAGGATTCTTGAAATAATCAACTTGCCCAACTTTGGAGCTCCAAGGGATAATATATAGGAACCTTTCATTTAGCTCATTCATTTTCGAAGAAACTGAAGCAGAAGGGGTGTGGAGACCGATGCGGGCTGTGCACAAGACCAGGGCTAGAAGCAACCTGGGCTTAGCCTGTACCCTTCTACCTTAGATGCCCATGTTTGGAACATGGGGATTTAAGAAATAAAATCATTAATGTCAAAACCTCACAGCAGGAGGAAATTCCATCCTTCATTCTAGAACATGAATATTAAGTATGTAATTGAGAGCCTCGTGCCCCTTGCTGGCAGGATTTTGGAGAAGGGCAGTACTTGAGCTGGCATATGACATCACTGGCCCCTGCAAATATAATTTGATTTCAGTGATTTGTTTTTTTGTGACAGGTCACCTTCCTGCTAAAATGCTTTCCCCACACCATGGTTTCTGCTCAGTTTCCTCGCAACAGCATCCCTCTTCTTCAAGAGCAGATAAATTAAGTAAAATCCAAGCAATTTTTTTAAAAGAACTGCATTCTTACCGAATGATGTTTCAGCTTTCATTAACTCTTCAATCACGGCTGCTAATATGAAGACTAAAAGGCTGTGAGGAATTGGGGGAGGGGTCCAAATGCATTCAGAAATATCTCAAAACACTGGCAAACTTTAAAATCCCCAATTCTATAAATACAGATTAAAAATTTTCTTTGCACACTTTTAGACATAAAGCTACATCAAGTTTCTGACATCAAATATTTGAACATTGCTACATAATTTCCAAGTTAAACATTGCAATTATAAGAGCACCTTTGTCACCCCCAACTAGATTTCCATTAAGCAAATGATTAATGTAGAAAAGGAAAAAAACCTAAATGTTGGGGGAAACCATCATACTGAGCTCACTTTATTCCCTTCCCTGTCCCCTCCCCTCCATCTCCATTTGAAATATTGTAATCGGCTGGTAGTTGGGCTGTGTCCTCACTAGAAGGTCTGCTTTTCTCCAGCAGACCCTCACTCAGCAGACCCCACCTATGTAAAAGGACAAATGATTCCATTGAAATGCTAAGCTAAGCTTAACAGTAAGAGACAAAGGGCCAGCTGGGAAACAAATGAATTGGGAATGTTGGGAGAACTTGCTAGAAAGGTCTCTAGAAAAGGAAAGCAGCTGAATCCTAGTGCCTCAAGCAGAAAATGAGCTTGAAAGGTCTGTTTAGGAAGGTGCCCTGCCCCCCAGGTGGGTGGGTGCCTTTCCCAGGGAGCGGGTATCCTCCCCGGTAGATTTGTGTGGCTCCTGTTGGCTTTTTCACCGTGGAATCGGGTGGAAAGAGGGAGGTTGGGGGAGGGGCGCCGGTGGGTAACAGGTTTTCACAGTTGCTCTGTGATCTCAACATCTGTTGACTGGGGGGCAATTTATGGAAGATCCTGTGTGAGAGACAAATGAACCTGTGTTTCGGGAAACCGGTCTCCCCTGTGCAGCTTTCTCTTTAAAACAGCAAGACTTACGTAAAGAGTGGGTTAGCCTAGGCACAAAGGACCTTTTTTTTTTTTTCAACGTATTTATTCATCCCACAACAAGGCAGCGCGCTAATTTAGCTAATGAAAAACCAAGCTCTACGGAAAAATACCTGTCCCCTAGACTACCCAAACCGCAGATAGTTCTCACAGAAATTCAACGAAACCTGGGGTTTCTCTTGCTTGTTAACTAGAGACCTCTTCCGTAGTGAACACAAGCAACTAAGACGTTACTAGAGGAAAAACAGAACACTTAAAAGTCACAGAAATGTCGCCATCATTGTTTACATTAAGTGGCAGTTTCAACTTAAGGCAGGCGGTGTTTCACTTGTGCAGTTTCACACGCTCAAGCCAAAAGCAGGAACGCCAGCCGTCCTGCAGGTCCCGGGCTGCCCCCAGTTGTCTGACACCCAAAGCTGCTGGGTGAGCCCCGTACCTTGCTTCGGTTTACCGAAGACCGCGGGCAACGGACAGCCGTCCGCGCGCGCAGCCGGCGGCACCAAGTCTGGGACGCCGCGACTCCTTCCTAGGGGAGAAGTCCCGGAAGGAGGACCATTTAAAGTGTTTCCCTTCGGCACCGTCCTTAATGAGCTTAAGAGCACCACCTTTTTCATTTCAAGCAGTCAAAACGCTTATCCGCGCCCTCCGCATCGTTCCCGACCGAGTAACTCAAGTCGGCGCTTACCGGACGCGCACGCACCAGGAAAAAAACCCCAGCAAAACAAAATAGTTTCCAAATCAGGTGAGATTTTGTAAATACGCTTCACCCATCAGCCTTCCTCCTCAGGCCTGGAGAAGGCACGCCAAAGGGCGCTGCCGCTCCCGGACTGCGGCTGTCCCGTCGCACGCACGCTGCGTCAGCGAGGCAGTTTCCCCTCCAGGGCACAGATTCCAAACTCCGCTCCTCCGGATGAAGATGGCCGAGCTGGCCGAGCGAGCCGCCGGCGGAGCCGCCTCTCCGGGCTGCGGAAGCCTCCAG